TCTTTTTCAAGATGACCAAATGTCACTTTTCAAAATGATTGAATGACATTTCACCTTGTTCTCTGGCATGTATTGTATTATGTATGTGTAACTGTTTTTTTTTTCTTTCTAGGATAATCCCATGGGATCAGGCAATGGTAAATTTGGTGGGGAACGACTGTTCAAAACAGAGAGAAACCATGCTCTTTTTGTCTCAATTGAATCTGTATTGCCAGCACATCTTCTTGAAGAAGGTTCTACATGTACTGGTATGTATGCATGAATATAAAATTTCTGCTCTGTTCTGTTCTATTGTACTATTGTTTTTACAATTTTTTGTGCCCGGCGACAGTTCTGGACATTGAATGTCACTGTTGTCTCCCCTGACTTGTTTTTGTATGTGCACGTTGCAAGTGCTGACATATAGTGCATTTTAGTCGCAGAAGCCATATTCGTGGTTGGGACTCATGACAGGGCTGTGCAGCCATCTCCATTGTTTTGTTGTCAATGTCAAGTGATCCTTGCTGGGAAGAAATGTTGAAATAGTAGGTTTGGAGTACAATCTATGATTAAAGGGGAGCAGAGGTATGACTTAATTATAGATAGATAAAAACTATATACATTTGAATTTTAGACGACTATTCAACGTTCATGGAAACCAGAATGAAATAGGTACGTGTATACAATAGCGATATGGCTGAGACATTATGTTCATTAGTGACGTCATCACCCAGCGCCCCCTACAGGCAAAATGACGCCAGGCAAAGAGGACGTTTGTCGTCTACTTCACAGCCCATTTTATACTTGATATTTAGTGCATTTCGCAGCACATACAAGTTGTTTTCATCGCCAGAATTCATCAATAGATCTTAAATTTCATGTACAGAGTGACAAAAGCCAGACCTCTGCTTCCCTTTAACATATTTAAATGTCCTTGTTGCAAGAAGTCACCCTGTAGAGTCAAATAGTGACAGTCACCTGCTCACACGCGGGAATTGAGTTCCAAGCAACAATAACAACACACGGTAAAAACGCAAAGGCTCATGGGTAGACATTTGTTTGTAAACAATGACATGCTATGGCCATCTGACGCATGCGCAGGTGACGGCACCCCACTTTAAGTGTATTGATCAGTATTCCATTTCTTAATATTTTTCTAGCTCTTAAAAAAACCCATGTTGTACAGAAACCTGCTTATCCATTCAATCTCAGTGACTTCACTGACAAATTCCTTACCTGCAAATTATGTGAAGAACTGTTTGATGACGGCGATAGAGTGGCAAAAGGTCTGCCATGTTATCACACATATTGTAAAACCTGTCTGGAGCACTACGTTAAAAAAAGCCCCGCCTTCAACTGTCCAGCTTGCCGGTATATAATAACAATGCCAAATGAGGGAATTGATGGATTTCCAAATGATTTTAACAAACAGAGTTTAAGGGATTATTTTTATAAAGAACCCAAAAAAGAAAATTCTGAAAAAACAGAAGCCACAGTTGTGCAAAACAGTGCAGATGCCCTTGGTAAGTATTAATATTATATTATATTATTATTATTATATATACAAAATGTGTTGTGATTCGTGGATGTGAGGTGTGTGCTCTTCCACACATTAAGTTTTCATAACATAGCCCCCGTTAGATATTCATTCCATAATAATGGTGGTTTCAATCGTTCCACATATTGTTGCCAAAATTTTAAGTCTTGATGACATATCCCCTGTTAGATATTCATTCCAAAATAATGGTGGTTTCAATTGTTCCACATATTGTTGTCAAGATTTTAAGACTTGATAGCATAGCCCCTGTTAGGTGTGCATTCCATAATTATGGTGGTTTCAATCGTTCCACATATTGTTGCCAAGATTTTAAGTCTTGATGACATAGCCCCTGTTAGATACTCATTCCATAATAATGTTGGTTTCAATCGTTCCACATATTGTTGCCAGGATTTTAAGTCTTGATGGCATAGCCCCTGTTAGGTGCGCATTCCATAATTATGGTGGTTTCAATCGTTCCACATATTGTTGCCAGGATTTTAAGTCTTGATGGCATCACCCCTGTTAGGTGTGCATTCCTTAATACTGGTTGCTTCAGTTGTTTAACATAGTTTCTAAAATCAAATATTAAATCCAAAATTATTTAGAAAAATTAAAATGTTGTACCAAAACACACAGCATTCAAAGAGTTAACCATTGATGATAGAAAACATTCTATATTTGAATTTATTACTAACACTACATGTTCTATATATTGACAGACCAAACAGGCTCATCCAATCAGAGAAGTCCAGGAGTGCAGTACATGTATCAACCACTTCCTGCTCAACAGCCAATAAATTGTCATCAGCAATGTTTTCCACAACGACCTCCATTTCAAGAAACTGCTTTTCCAGACAGTATTAACCAAGTAACCAGACCACATGCTACAAATTATATAAATTCTGGTATTAGAAGTGCTACTACAATTCCAGTTGGTGCTTGTGGCTTATTTTCGAATCATGACTCTGGTTCATCAGGCGATGTAAATTTCATGAAGACAGGTATGAGGTATACAGATATGTATACTTTAGTATCATTCAATTTCATAGTGTTTTTTATTACCCATAATACCATGCCATATGTAGTGTCAAATGTTACAAATGCTTGATATTTGTATTCCTGTCTTCTTAAAGTGTTATTTTCTACTAGATTATCATTCTATTTGTGAACAATATGATATGTCTAGCTTAGCTTAAAGTGCCTGTGAAATGGCTGCTATTTTCACACCTAAAATTATCCTTTGATACATAAATATTATTAATTTTTATGTTTCT